ATTCGAGAGGCCCATTCGGCCATCTAGTATTGTCGGTATCTTTAGTAGGTCCTTTAGACCCTGAAGATCATTCGTTGTAAATAAGTTTTTTGTGTATATTTTGTCTATTCTGAAGAAGTGGGGTTAAGATCCCGCAGAAACTAGTCAATAAATAAACATTTACAAAAACACAAAAAACTTTTTTATATTTATTTTTATTTTTATTTCATCTCGAGAGTAGTGAACTCATTAGAAAGAGGTTATATCTGAATAAGAATAACCAACTACTTTTAATTCTAATAAAATTAATCGTGAACTTGAAAAAGCACAATTTAAAGATACTAATATTAAAATGACAACTATAATAAGTGCATCTGTACATTTTCTCGATGTTACTATTACAAATGAGAATGGAAAACTCCGAACATGTATTTATCATAAGCCAACAACTGAACCATATATTTTACCATACACATCGGATCATCCACATCATATCAATTGTAATATTCTATATGAAGCATTATTACGTGCTGCTCGTATTTGTTCACATGTTAATGATTTTAATTCAGAACGTATTCGTCTTGATATGTCATTATTATTGAATAGTTATCCACCGAATTTTATTACTAAACAATTCCATCGATTCTTTCTTTTAAATAATGCAATGTCTGTATTAACTGAATTAAATGAAGATGCTTACCATCATTTACATCAAACTCTATTGCAACAACCAACACGTGGCGAGAAAAACCATTTTAACATGATGCATGATCCTATTGCAAAACCAGTCGTATTACAACCAAAAATATGGAAGAAAGAAGTAATGTATCCATGTTATCTCTATGGTACTAGTCTCACTAGTAATTTACCAAATCAATTCTGCAAATGGTGGCAAACATATTATGCATTTACTGAATCACCACTTGAACACATAAAATTGATGATAGTCGGAAATACCAATCGTACTTTAGAAAGTTTCTTGATTCGTAAGAAACCTTCATGAGAAATATTAACAAAAATGGAAACAATATGAACACTAACTGTTTACTCACTGTTCCTACTAATGCCAACTATGTTGAAATGCTCAACTGATGCGAACTATATGAAATTCAACTTATTTTCTCGATGTTTCTCCTCACAAATCCTTGATACAAAACATTTGAATTATTGTATTTTTCTTTTGAAGAAATAAAATAAGTGCAACTGCGGATTAAATAAATTTCTTTTTCTAAAAAAACGAACAGACCTTCTCTAAGATATCGAACCTCACATTCTTTTTTCTTTTTTTGTTTGAGGTTTTCTATCTACATTTTCTATACTATAGTAATGAATACTGAAGCCTAATTTATCTCAAATGTCATACCATACCAATGACATTTAATGCAGCGTATATAGATTTCAAATTTACCTGATGATGACCCTTAAGCAAGGTCAAAACGATCGTAGTAAGTAACTTGAAATCCACTTATACATTCACACCCCCCCCCCCCCCACCCACCCATACCTACACCCACATCCTCACCCACACCCATGCCGCTGATCAGATTGATAAGACACATTCTTTCAGCATTCTACTTCTTTAATAGCTTGGAAAAGAAACATCTCGATAAATTCATATGTCTTCGCCAAATGTTTATATAAAGTATTTATTGAAAATATTGAAGCAGAAAAGAATGATGATTAAATGTAATTGATAAGATTTTTAAAAAGAAAACAAAGCATGATATTCATCGTACCAAAGCAGAGAAAGGAAAAGTTGAGCGAAGTAATTAACAAGCAGGAAACTAGCTACTAGCAACATCTTCACCATTGATTAGTAATCTTATGAATAGACAATGTTATATGAAATTATTCTAAGCTCAATTGAAGTTTGTGTTACGTAAGACTTTCAAATATTGAAAAGGCTATGCAAAAGTAAAACCGGCACATATGTTTTTCAAGAGTAGATTCGTTTCATATAACATCAAAAGTTTATGAAGATAAGAAGTTCGGTAAGGATATTTGAAGAAATGAAACGAGAGCATATAATATTCGAAGTTACTTGACGAACACCTAGTCAAGTTTTTAAGGTGTTTACGGCGTCAAATGTGGTCATGTTCGTTGTAAATTCAATGATCAACCTTCAACAGAATACCAAATCATTGATTACATATCGTTTGAATATCCACAACAATATTTGTGTTCAAATTTGGTATCTACTTTGAAGTAAGCCATTACAAGTATTATAAGGTTGAAAATCACCCAGAAACTGAATCTTCTTAACAAATATTCTGTTCGATACATAATCAATACCATAAATTAAAACCAAAGTTTATGACCTGTTTAACAATTTCATAGTAAAGGAACATTAGCAACAAAATGTTCTCTCATTTATGTTATTGAACGTAAGGCAAAGCTTCTGTCATTATTATGAGAAAGTACATCATAGCAAAACTGAAGCAACCTGAAAAAAACTCTTTTCAAGAATCTCAAACACCTGTAGACAACGGCTACATGCTACTCAAGCAGATCTACTTATATAGTACCTGAACATTTTTCATCAAATATCTATTCGAAAGACTTCCTTGAACAAACGTTAATTCAACATTTACCGACCGAAAAACGAACACGTTGCCAGCGACTAGTTTCTAGAAACGTTTTGTTCAACTCTCTAACTTGGCGAGAATGCAATGTGAAAGACCCTCATACAGCGTTATATCACGAAGCTCATAAATCAATCTAATTATAAGGAGAGCTTTTTCAGAAACACCGAGCACTTAAAGCTAATTCGTGGGTGAATAATGTCATCAACAATCACCTAACAAACAAATCTTCCCAAGCGTCAACTTTCTGTACCTATATAGGGTTCTCACTTCATCAAAAAAAAAGACATATGTCACATTTGAATGTTCACACGAAAAATCCATAGTACTAACAAGAAGTCTATTCGCATTCGCGCATGTCAAAAACAAAAATAAGCCAAAAACAGAACCTTAGACCATAACAGTTCAAAAGAAATATCCTGAGCAAAATCCTATTCGATTGCTTCACTCCGTACTAATACAAGACAGTAGAATAAAAGCTTTGTAAATTATATATCGTACGAATTATCCAAAACTGATCCTATTCAACTATTTCATTCCAAGACAACCAAAACCAACACAGCATATAACTAAACAGTACACAGCATCGGAATAGTTCTTAGGAGGCTCGTATACAACTATTCTACTCCACGGGTATTGATGACAGAAGAATACAAGGCTGAACACTAAATGGCATATGAATTATCCTAAGTAATGTTGTGTTCATCTATTTTATTGCCACGCAAATCGCTAATATCGCAATGCGTGATCAGACACAGCATGGCACGGGAATTATCTTTAACCTCATGTTCAGTTACTTCAATGTCAGACAATCCCTAATATCAGAACTCTTAATCTAATATTACATGCCATATGAATTATTCTGACTTATGTCTGTTCAATTATTTCTGTGTGAAGCAATCTATGGCATTGGAAGGCCGAGTCATATAGTAGATATCATGTGAATTGTCCAGAGTAAGGTCGTGTTCAATTTTTTCATTCTCAGGTAATCCTTAACATCACACGGAATCATAAAGCAACACATGGCATATGAATTGACCTAACCAAGGCCGTGTTCAATTTTTCATTCTCAGGTAATCCTTAACATCACACGGAATCATAAAGCAACACACGGCATATGAACTGTCCACACCAAGGTCGTGTTCAATTTTTTCATTCTCACTCAATCAATAACATCACAAGGCATCATAAAGCAGTACATGGTATATGAATTGACCTAAGAAAGGCCGTGTTCGATTATTTCATTCGCAGGTAATCCTTAATATCACAAGGGGTGATAAAGCAACACACAGCATATTAATTATTCCGACTAAGATCGTCTTCAGATATTTCATTATCACGCAATCCCTAACATCAGAAGACGCCGTTAAACAGTACATAGCACACGAATTATCCTAATAAAGATCGTGTTCAGTTATTTCATTGTGAAGCGATCGTTAGCAACATAAGTCGTTTTCAAAGAGCATAATGCATATGAATTATCCTAATAAAGGTTATGTCCAGTTGCTTCATTTTCAAACAATCCGTAACATCGAAAGACGTAATCAGACACGACACAGTACACGAATTATACTAATAAAGGCCGTGTTCAATATTTTCATCCTGAAGCAATCGTAAACATTGGAATAAGTAATCAGATGCGATATGGCATATGAATTATCTTAAGCAAATTCCTATTCAATTTTTTCGTTGTGAAACAATGGCTAACACCGGAAGACGTAATAAGATACATCATGACATACGAATTACTCTAACCAAAGTTATGTTCAATGACTTCATTGTGCTTCGATAGCAAACGTTAGAGCAAGGTTGTGTTCTACTATTTCATTCTCAAGCAATCGCTAACTTTGCAAGATGTAACCAAACATCGCATTGCATACGACTTGTTCTAATAAAATTCGAGTTCAATTATCTCATCGTCAAGTAATCCGAAACATCAGAATACCTAATCAAATGGTACATGGCATATGAATCATCCTAATAAAGGTCGCATACAATTATTTCATTGTGAAGCGATCATTAACAACATAAGTCGTTTTCAAACATCGTATTGCATATGAATTATCCTAAAGACGGTCGTGTTCAATTATTTCGTTTTCAAACAATCCATAGCATCAGAGGACGTAATCAGACACTACATGACATATGAATCATCCACAAAAAGATCGTATTCAATTATTTCATTGTGAACCGATCGTTAGCAACATAAGTCGTTTTCAAACATCGTATTGCATATGAATTATCCTAAAGACGGTCGTGTTCAATTATTTCGTTTTCAAACAATCCATAGCATCAGAAGACGTAATCAGACACGGCATGGCATGCAAAATATCCTAACTAGCGTCGTGTCCAATTACTTCAAGATCAAGCAGTCGCTAACATTGAAAGTCGCGATCGAATAGTATATGCCATATGAATTACTTTAACTAAGGTTATATTTAATTATTTTAGTGTGAAGCGATGACTAAGATCAAGCTACGTAATGAAACAGTTCATGGCATATGAATTACGTTAACTAAGGTCGTGTTTTATAATTTCAGTGTGAAGCAATACGTGAGCTGAAGCTACGTTATCAAATGGTACATTGTATATGAATTATGTTTATCAAGATCATGTTCGATTATTTCGTTGTGAAATGATCACTGAAATCAGAAGGCGCAATCGAGTAACTCATGGCGTATGTGTTATCCTAAATAAAATTGTGTTCGATTGTTTCAGTGTGAATCGATCGATAACAGCACATGACATGATTAAACAACACATTACATATGAATTATCCTAAGTAATGTTGTGCTCAGTAACTCCGTAGTGAATTTTTTGATTCCATCAGAAGACATACTCAAACAGCACATGGTACATGAATTATTGCCAATAAGTTCGTGTTCAGCTATGTTAGTGTGAAGCAATCGCTAATAGCAGAATAGACAATTAAACAGCGCAAGATATTTGAATCGTCACAAGCAGGTCGTGTTCTATTATTCCGTCGTGAAGTGATGGCTAGTGTCAGAATATGTAGTGAAAGAGTGCATCGAGTAGGAATTATCTTAATGAACCTTGAGTTCATTTTTTTTATTATCAAGTAGCATATCAGAACGACAATTATGATGGAGAATAGCATCGCTGATGAATTACTTTAGGATTTTTTTCCGATATATTTTGTAAGAAAGACAAAAGCTAGGATAAATCACATGAAGAATGATGTTTAATACGGTGAATCAGTGGAACAGTAATTGGATTCAAATGGTTCATTGACTTTTCCTCAGAATCTAACACGTTGCAGCATACTTAGAAACACATAGAAATAAAATACTTACAATTGTACCGACTGGAGTGTACTGATCAAGTACATTGTTGAGGTTAAAATGAAGTGTGATACTTGATGACATGATTGAGAATCAAATGGATAGTGAATCATTCTAAA